AACAACAACAACCAACTTCTTCAGTCTGAAATTGATCAAACATGCAATCAAGATGTATTAATAATTACTGGGGATTGGAATGGAAAGGTTGGAAACAAAGAGGAAGGATGGGCCCATTGCTGGAAAATATGGCCTTGATGATAGAAATGATGCTAGAGATTGCATTATAGAATTTTGCAAGAACAGTGGTTTGTTCATTGCAAATACCGTTTTTAAACAACATGAAAAATGACTATACACATGGACCTCACCAGATGGAATACACAGAAATCAAATTGACTACTTCTGTGGAAAGAGATGGTGAACAAGCTCCATGTCTTCAGCCAAATCAAGGCCGGGGCAGACTGTGGAACAGGTCATCAATTGTTTATATGCAAATTAATGCTGAAGCTGAAAAAATTGAAAACAAGGGAACACCAAATGGTTTAAAATTAGGAAAGGTGTGCTCCAGGATTGTATTCTTTCACCATATTAATTCAATCTGTATGTTGAGCAACTAATTCAAGAAGCTGGATTATACAAAGAAAAACATGGCATCAGAATTGGAAGAACACTCATTAACAATCTGCAATATGCATATGATACAACCTTCTTGCTGAAAATGAAGAGGACTTACTGATGAAGATGGAAGACTACAGCCTTCAATATGATTGCATCTCGGTGTAAATAAAACAAAAATCCCCAGCATTGGACCAATAAACAACAGCATGTAAATGGAGAAAAGGTTGAAGTTGTGAAAAATTTCACTTTGCTTGGATCAACCATCAACACTTATTAAAGCAGCAGTCAAGAAATCCAACGACGTATTGCATTAGGCAAATCTGCTACGAAAGACCTTTTAAAGTGTTGAAGAGCAAAGATGTCTGTTTCAGGATTAAGGTGCCCCTGACCCAAGCCATGGTATTTTCAGTAACCTCATATGCATGCGAATGTTGGACAGTGAATAAGGAAGACCATAGGAGAATTGATGCATTTGAGTTGTGGTGTTGGAGGAGAATATTGAAAGTAAGTACTAAGGTGCTCTGGTATAGCGTAGTGGTTATAAATCACGCTGCGAACCACAAAGTCAGCAGTTTGAAACTACCAACTGTTCCGCTGGAGACAGATGAGGCTTTCTGCTCCCCCGTAAAGATTTACAGCCTCGGAAACCCTGGACGGGGTCCCTGTGAGTTGGAACCAACTCCATGGCACCTAACCACCATGGGCTGCCAAAAGAACAAACAGATCTGTATTGGAAGAAGTGCAGCCAGAGTGCTCCTTAGAAGCCAGGATAGCCAAACTTTGTGTCTCATATTTCAGACATTTTATCAGGAGGGACCAGCCATTGTAGAAGGATATCCTGTTTGGTAAAGTGGAGGGTCTGAGAAAGAGGAAGACCCCCAATAGATGGATTGACACAGTCATGGCAGTAATGGGCTCAGGCATGGCAATGATTGTGAGGTTAGCCCAGGACCAGGCAGTGTTTCATTCTGTTGTGCAAAGGGTCACTATTAGTCATTACTGATTTAGTGACAAATAACAACAACAACAATTCTTGGTAATAGCCTCAGGGGTCCCTTTAGTCTTTTACTAGAGAACAAGTCTGTTTGTTTGTTTTGACTTCTTTTTTTTTTTTTTTTAACCCATTCTAACTTGGATTTTCCATTATGGTCTTAGGAGACCTGATGGCTCTTTAAGTTAGATATATTGGGCTGGTAACCAGGTTGATGTTGACAGTTTAAATCTATCAGTTGCTTCATGGGAGCTGTCTACTCCCATTAAGATTTGCTGCTGTTGTTAGGTGCCATCAATTTCCTACCCATAGTGACCCCATGTACAACAGAATGAAACATTGCCTGGTTCTGTGCCGTCCTCACAACCAAGGCTATGCTTGAGACTATTACTGCTGCCACTGTGTCGGTCCATCCAGTTGGGAGTCTCGTTCTCTTTCATTGATTCTCCATTTTTCCAAACATTATGTACTTCTCCAGGGACTGGCCCCTTCTTATAATATGTCTAAAGTATGAGATGAAGTCTTGTCATCTTGTCTTCTAAGGAGCATTCTGGTTATTCAGTGTTCTTCCAACATAAATCTGTTGTTCTTCTAGCAGTCAATGATACCTTTAAAATCATGATCCATATAGTCCAAAGTCTTTGCATAATCAATTAAGCTCAGGGAAACATCTTTCTGGCATTCTCTGCTTTTAATTAAGATCCGTCTGACATCAGCAATGATATCCCTTGTTCCAGCTCCTCATCTGAATCCAGCTTGAACCGTTGGCAGTTCCCTATCAATGTACTGTTGCAGCTGTTTTTGAATTATTTTAGCAAAATTTTGCTTGCATGTAAATCATTGGACAACGTCCAATGATTTACATTAAGATTTATGATCATGGAAACCCTAAATGAGATTGCTATGATTTGAAATTGGTTCAGTGACAGTGGGTTGTGTTTGTGGTTATTGTGTTCTTTGTCACAGTGCTCAGTAGTAATGCTTGAATACCATCTAGTTCTTCTAGTGGTTAGAGGAAGTTGTTCATGTTGGCCATCAGTACTTTCAATTAATTGTTTTCTTAAGGTTTTGTTTTTCCTTTGTTCACCTGTACTTCATGTGGGAAGGGACGAATAGTTTTTTCCTAGATGACCACTTTCCATCTTTTAAGAAGTCAGATTCTACTCTCCAGACTAGGATATAGAACATTATGCTTATGAACTGTGTTCTGCCAATTGATCTAGATGCCCTTTGCAAAAATCATTTTTTGAAAGAACCAACTCTGGACATAGTGTTGGGAAGGGATTGATCAGAAGTTGAAATGGACCATTTAAGAGATTATAATAATAATTCAAGCTAGAAATAATGATCGGATTATATAGTTTAGAAAGAAATGGTGAAGAATTTAGTTCCAAATAAACTTTTCAGTAGACCTAATATGGAGCTCTGGTAGCATAGTGGTTACAAGTCGGGCTACCAAACTCAAGGTCAGCAGTTTGAAACTACCAGAGGTTCCGCGGGAAAAAGGCGTTCTGCTCACGTAAATATTTACAGCCTGGGAAATCCTGTGCAGGGTCACTGTGAGTCGGAATTGACTCCACAGTACTTAACAACAAGAAGATTTCCTGATAGATTTTATACAGGATGCGGAAAAATTTAAAAAAAAAAAAGAATCGTCAACTTTAAGGTTTGGGTGAGAGCAAATGAGCAAATGAAAGACAGGAATTATAATTTAATAAGAAAGAGAATATTAAAAATGCAATGCATATTGTGAGGGGTGGCAAAGATTTAAAAAGATTAGATTTAGAAATGTTACCTTTGAGATGCATATAATATAGGGAAGTGGAGATGGCAAATGGGCAGTTGGTTATATGAGTCTGGACATGAGAGGACTAGGCTGATAATATATGTAATTGAGAATCATCTTTGCATTCATATTTTTGAGATAGAAGATATGGAGAAGAGAAGGCACTAGAAATAGATCGGAGAGTAAAAGGGTACTGTCTCTGAAGTTAAGCAAATGAATTAAATGGCATCAAGGACAATGATGGGCTGAGTAAAATGTCAACTGAGAATTGACAAAAGGAAAGATACTAATGGTGTTCACACAAGCAGTCTTATATGTGCCTCATCATTTTTGTTTCTTTACACTGATATAGCTCCTTTTTAGTACTCCTTGCGTAGTGGTTACGAATCCGGCTGCGAACCGCAAGGTCAGCAGTTTGAAGCTACCAGCTGTTCCGTGGGAGAAAGATGAGGCTTTCTGCTTCCGTAAAGATTCACAGCCTCGGAAACCCTGTACAGGGTCGCTATGAGTCAGAACCGACTCCACGGCACATAAAAACAACAACAACTACTACTTGAAGGAGTCCTGGTGTGGCACTGTGGGTTAATGCGCCAGACTGCAAAGCAGTTTGAACTGCAAGATCGGTGGTTCAAGCTCACCAGCTGCTCCATGGAAACTCTATACAGGGTCGCTATGGGTCGGAATAGACTCGACAGCACTTCACAACAACTACTTGAAACTATGCATGTGTGTATGTGTCATTTTTGTCTTTCTGCGACTAGATGATATGTTTCCTGAAAGCAGGGACTTTGTTTTGATCCCAATCTAATTTCCAGTACTTGTAACATGCCTAATGCACGGGATAATGAGTGTTTGATGAAAGAACAAATATTCCATTGCAGTGCTCTTCTAAGTTTATTTTTCTGAATTTCTCAATACTTGAAATAAACATTGTAAATCCTTTTTAGGAAAATATTAAATTCCTAATATTTTGTTTGGATTATTTTTAAGTTGAAAAATTCACTTTCTAGTGTAAAAAAAAAGTTGACACACGCCTTCAGGATGAGACATGGGATGAGAATTCAAGAGTTTTGTTTTTAGCACAAGGTGTGTCTATCACACATCCCTACTTTAAGAATAATTAGGTGAGTAAATCCACGGGAAGGCATGGCATTACTCATAGCAGCTCTTTCTCATAATACACAAAGGGTTCTATTGTTTGTAACATTTGAATTATTCCCTGGTGATAAGTTCGGCCAGACATCAGCAATTTCCAGGAAGGAAGTGGGAAGGGTTTGAGTATGGTTGTTTAGAAGCAATCACTCCAAAGAGTTTAATATCTGTCTTTCAGGGTGTCTCTGATGCCCAGCCAAAAAAATTCGATCAATTGGAAAAATTGTACTAGATATACGTGTGTGCCTACTCTACCCAGGCCCTTAGTTTAGATAAAATGCCTCCTGTCATGTCACCAGAGGTGATCACAAGGTCATGGGATCATCTGTTGCCACCACAGGGGATAAGACCAGGGTGGTTGAACATCTATCTAGAAGATGTATATATAATGACCTTTAAACTCCAGGACCTAATTTGCAATAGTCAGCTAAGCTAATCAGATGCCCTCTGTGAGGAACTTGACCTGAACATTTGGTTCTTGGTGGATGCTTCAGTGAAAGACCTGACAGGCTGGAGTGAAGGAGACTATTAGCAAAAGTTTCATGTTCAAGGCGAATGAACAGAGGAAGCCATTGGGAACAAAAGGGCAATAGGTCATATTCAGCAGGTATGGGGAGAGAAAAGAGAGGGAGAGAGGTTTCAAACCTGTTTTTCTGTGTATCCTTCCTAAAACCTGATTGTTTTAAAATGTCCTGGATTTATATAAAACCTGTCAATATCTTTACATTCAGCCTTGTTTTCTAGAGTTGGTTTGAGTGTTATGTTTCTTATAAACAAAAAACTTTCACTAAATCATATGAAGGATAAAAGGAAAGATTAGACTCCACTAAGCAGTTAAAATTGTTATTCCAGACCGTCTGTAGGTTTCTAGCAGTTGACACTTCCTGATTCTGGTGCTTATGGAAATCTTTTTCTTCATTCTGAAAATGACCATATTATGCTCACATCTTATCCTTGCAGTTTTTTTTTTTTTCTATAGCACACCCCAAATAAAAAGAGAATATAAGTATATATATTTACAGAAAGACTGGCTAGGGAGTCTTGGTAAACTTTGGATCTATTAATGAAATATTCTCTATGCTTTCTTCCATGTCGTCATCAGATGGGCTCTAAGTTATGCTACACTAAAAAGTGAAAACCTCACTGGCTGGGAAAAAAAAAAGTTTCAAGTCTTTTGCAAGTCTGGGCAACCCTCCAGGGAGCCATTTTCTGTCTGCTGAGTCAGCATTTCACACAGCTTCACTCCTAAGTCACCTCATATCAACAATGCTTCCACTGTCACCACAGCAGGGAGGAGATGGCTGCACAGATAAGCTCCATCAATCAATTACTTCCACCAGGAAGTGATTTTTCTCACATTTCATGGACCTTAACTTATTGTTTGAGCACACTTAATTTTAAGGGGAGTGTTCCTAGGTGAAGCAAATGGTTAAGAGTTGGGCTGTTAACCAAAGTGCCCACCCAGAAGTTCCTCTGAAGAAAGACCTGGTAATCTACTTCTAAGAAAGTTAGCTATTAAAAACCTCCAAGGAACACAGTTGTACTCTGACACACATGGGGTCACCGTGAGTCAGAGTGGACTTAAGGGCAACTGATTTGTATTCTTTGTTCTAAACTCTAAGGGTACAGAAATATATGGTCTTGCTACAAGTACAAAATGAAAAGGAGATCAACTATTCTTAGGAGTAATAATGCTAATCAACATTTCTAAATAGCTGAAAGAACCCAGAGGACGTCTATCAATGCCAATGAGTAAGGACATGTGTCTTGCCTTTGCTTCATATGCTGTGATACTCTGGAATGACTTGCAGTTTCTGTCTGCTTCTTGGTTTGAATCTCTCCTTCCACCCTTGAAGCATGGCTTCCCCATTCTGGAATGGGATGTACTCCATTTAAACCAGTTTTTAATATTACAACCCCTTCCCTGAGAGTCCAGGTGTGGTGCTGTGGGTTAATACGAAAAGCCATTTAAACTGTAAGTTTGGCGGTTCAAGCTCACCAGCTGCTCCTTGGAAGCCCTATATAGGGTCACTATGGGTCGGAACTGACTTGACAGCACTTAACAACAACAACCCCTCCCCTGAAGAAAAAAATTCAAGCCTGGACTTTTAATATTAAAAAATTTTATGGACAAAATACTGAAGATACAGGATGCATCAAAAGAAAATTAAAGGAATACATAGAGTCACTGTACTGAAAAGAATTAGTTGATGTTCAGTCATTAGAAAAGGTACCATATGATCAAAAACTGATAATATTGAAGGAAGAAACCCAAACTGCACTGAAGACACTAGTGAAAAACAAGGCTTTAAGAATGGATGAAGAGGAACAGAAAGAACTGAGGATGTAGCAGTTCCCATCAGAATGCCTTTTCTCTGCAGACCTCGTTCTTGTCTTCAGCTTCTTCGCCCTGTGGCTGCTTGGACTCTGCTGTGTTTAGTTATGTTGAGTTCCATTCAAGGCAATCAAGACAGAAGTTTCATATGCCACTTTTGGACTCCACATATGAGATCTCCAGTGT